AGGTTTTTTTCTTTTAACGTAATAATTGTTTACTGTCGGCTGATAATGAACACTTGCTTTGGAACCGTTATTAAGTGCTGACCAGTCAAATATCATAATAAAGTGGCTTTAAGAAAACATGAAAGAGGTGAAAGCAATAAAATAGTAACCCAAAACAATGACTAGTTTAGTTAGACAATTTATTGTCAATAAGTGCCACCACAATTTTGATGCCAATTATTCTGAATCTGAAAATTGTTCTTTGTATTATATGAAATTCTTAATTTTGTTCAGTACATCGTCCAATCGCAGAGTGCGTTTTCAGACGAATAAACCTTTTTTTTTTTTTTTAGAGCTTTTGAGTGGCACATTTGAAGTGGTTTTTCCTCACTAGTACAGGTTTGCAAACAGGCGCTTCTACACCAGCATTTTGATATAATAAGTTTACTTGTTTTATAGTTAGACATTATTCAGTCCACTGTCAACTAAAATCTATTTTCTCGTTTTCCTTCAGCATTCCCTCTACTTCAATAACTCTCAGCTCCTTTAATAATGCAACCTGATAATAAAAGTTACAATAACTAATCACAGTGGTTCAAAGAATTTCTTGCATAACGATTTTTCGCGAGCTACTGGTTTCTTTGGTACAAAAACACTTCTAATTCCGCTCTCTCAGTACTTCAAAATGAAATTTGAAAAACTGATGATGAAATCCAACCGAAAAGTTAAGTATAATAACTTCATTAACGATTTACCTTGGTAACACTTGTATCTTATAATAATTTCTGAAGAACCTTGATAATGTCGTATAACGTGCCAGCCAATTCCATGTTAACGTTTGAACACCTTTAACTACAACAATTATTTTTGGGCTGACTGACAAAGCAACTTGGAAACAGCGCATTCACAAACAGAGAATTTTTGTTCGCTTAAGGTCTCTTCAGTTTTCTAGAGTTTCACTTCTAAAACACAAACAAGACTCTCGTACTACACTGTCGCCTATATGGCGCTATTATACAGAAGACAGTTTCAAGCTACAGCCTTAAAAAAATGAGAATTATTCAGTTTGTTGTATGCTAAAGCAGTTAGGAGAGGAATTGTGCAAAATAAAGCAAACGAAGTTAGAAAAAAAAAGGTCCTTTTATAATCTTTTCACCAACACGTACCTCCAGCTGCCGAATAAGATTCCTAATGTTTCATCCTAAAAATTGTTTAGATTCAGCCACGAAATTGTTAGCAAAGAAAGATTCCTGACATTTGTTCATCTTCAAATATTTCTCGCCGTTTCTGTCTGCATTTTCTTCGTTAATTTTTCTTCAAAAGCCTTCTTTAAACAATATTTGACAGATATAGTAAAATAGCATAATAAATTTAAGCAGTTCCCAACCTTCTCCGGGGCAAAATTTTGGACTTTTACTTTTTAATAAGCTCGATTTCAAGTTATTTCCTCATCTTAAATCTTTCTTTATCTCCCTTATCTTAAAACTAAATTTGCGAAGACTTTTTTTTGAAACACGTCAGCAAGTTAACTCAGTCGAAAACTCTTGTTTACAATAAAAATAAATCGCAAAATTAAATCTGTAATATTTTAAATGCAGTAATTTAATAATCAAAAATCGTGAGCACCAACTAAAAACTTTTTTTGAAGGCAAAGCTAGCTTATGGTTCAATTACAGAAATCTTTTACAGATATAAATTTGTAACTATAAATTAGCTTTGATTTTGGGAAGAACGTTTGATCCCTGTTAACAAAAAAAAAGCATTAGACGCTTATTTACAAAAAATATAGAATTTACAAAACGAATTGTAGTTTTTAAAGACAACGTTTTTGTTCTGGCGTTCTCGTAAAAGCAGTTCAGAACTGTCTGTTTTCTAGTGCACATTGCTGATGTCACTTTTCCCTAACATTATGCAAAATAATTTTTTCTTGCTTATAACAGTAGACTACTATTCATGTAAAACTGCCACCGTTTTTGCATGCACCACATCATTCTTTGATATTGGCATGACAGGAGTTTCACTTGCTCACGCTTAAACCTGAATATATGTATGTCAAATTACCATTGTTCATTTGAAAGATAATAATTAATGCCCAGCGTCAGAAAGAAATCCCAGACTGCAAACATCCATTAAATAGATGATGTTCCTCCAGATGATTTCCTTAAACTCACAAAATTTCACTTGAGTGCCACATTTGACAAACCTTCGAGACAGCGTAAAACGTTTACAACATCAGCAAAATCGTAGTACATTGAGTAAAAGTGTACTACAAATTTTGAATTCTCACGGTATTTAATGTCAATAAATTTAATCCTATGGTGGAGTCAGCAACAGCAACTTTAGCATGAAATGAAAAAATCTTCTGGATTCTAATAAAAACTATAAATTACTGCTGGGAAAAAGGGTTAAGAAGATCACTCCCACCAAGAACTAGAATAGCCTAGGAGAATATATCTAAACTCTCTAGCAAACCCACTACCTATAAATGAAGCAGAAGCTCTTTCAAAATGACTAAAAAATTATGCTTCTCACCTTGCCTCTTCCCCTGAAATAAGTTAACCCAAAACTTGGTCTTCTGGAATTGTCAATAATCTATTTCATAGGAAAGGAAATGTCAAGTTGACTATGAACTTAATATGAAATAGCCTCCGCTTAAGCAGAAATCCAGAAAGCAACAACTAGTAATTGTACTGAAAGACCTTTGAAAAATTTAGATCTTGTTATGCAACCCAAGAAGAGCCTTGTCAGGGTGCACTTTTGTTTATAAATTAAAAATTTGAAAACAAATTAAAATTTTGTAGACGTTTCTATAACAACTTGTGGATACTATAAATCAGCTCGAGAAGCAGTTTTTCTAAATTTATCTAATAAATCATCAGTAGTGACAGCAAACTTAACGTGTATCACAGCCCTGAAAATCTGCACAAAACTAAGTTAGATAACAGTGACATTACATGTTTTGAAACAATATAAAAGGAAACTGGAATAATCAATGCGAGAAAATATCACAGAACCTCAGAAACAATTTAAAAATTAAACAAGTCAGAACTGTAAGTACAGCTAACATACTGTAATTCCTAAATTTTGATGAAAGAGTATGACAATAAAGATTAATCAGAACAAGCAGACTATAAAAACCCAATAAAAACACCAAACTGCGAACCAACTTCTGCCGTTAAGAGTAAGAAAAGGTTCTTAGACAAAAGCCAAACGAAATGAGTCCAACACAGTAGGTGAGCTTGTAAAAAAATTAGGTACATTTGAATTTCTAAGAGGGACTTGTTCATTAAAAAAAGGTGAAGAAGCAGAAACTTCAGAAGCATCTTGGTTAGCACTGTCCCTGAAAATCAGCATCTCACTTTCAAGGACTATAACTACCACTGTATAAACGTAAATAAAATCAAAAAATTGTAAACAAGTGATGTTATACCTTTTTTCTAAACTGTTTTCACTACTACAGTCAAATCCATGAAGTTCACTGAGTGCCTCTAAAACATCAGATTCTGTGCTTGAACTTTTATTAGAGGTAAAATCAGTGACAGATTTACCAAATATGCTTTGACCGCTGTTTACTAGACGTAATATCTCACTAGCGCCTTCGTCAGAAACTTGCTGTAAAGTGCAATAAGTGATATACATCACAAAAACCTTTGTCTGAGAAGTGAAGATTTTATTTTACATTTAACTTACTTCTTCCAAAACGGGCTCTAACTGAACATCCTTTAAATTTTCGAACTCATCCCTTATACTCTTATTTTGTGACATAATAGTGTCCAGAGAACTGTCAAAAAAAGGCTTCATTTGGGATTGCGCGACAAGTCCTGGCGATATATCGGAAGTTTCATTTTGGTTATCGCCTAAAAAACTAGTTTTAAGCCAGACATACTACTCAGCCATTTTCAGAACTAGAACTTTAGCTCTGCTCTTAAGCGAAAAGGTTTTCTTTTTACTCACTAACAAAATTACCTTGCTAAAAACTTCTATTCATAAAATTAAAACGTCCAACTAAAAGTTTTCAATCAAGATAAAGGTTCAAAATAAAGCAAAATAAAATTATGAAAAAAGACTGTGAAGAGTAAACTAGAGACTCAGAGAAGTCTACATGAGCATCCTGTTGTCCTAATGAACAAATAAAAAATTTTTGAAAAGATGATTACACACCGTACCTGAATCAATTTTGTTAAAAACAGTGGCGCCATTTTCGTCCAAGCTCCCAAGCTGCTCGAATAAAGATGCAAAATTTGGAGTAGTAACTCCAAACGGGTCCGTTCTATTATAGAAACTTGTTAATATGTCCTATAAAAAATTATCCTCTGAGTTCAGATGAGCCTGACACCAAAAACAATCTCCAAAATACGGCGGAGAACTACCTCATTAATAACTGAAATCCCCTTTTAAAAAGAAAGAAACAATAAAATTAGTCATATTCAGTAAAAATAGAAGCCCATTTACATACTTTGTACGAATCATATTCTTCCGAATTACTTCTTTCATTCGCGTTTACCAACGCGCTTCCGCTATGTGATAATTCAATCCCACGAGACTTCAAAGCATTCGCGGCTAGACTGCACGCTGCATTAGAATACGTTGCAGAATCACCATTTCGTAGTGTAAGAAACGGTAAAGATGATAAAACCCGCTCAGCAATTTCGTGAAGCGGAGGGTCTGGCGGAAAGAACAGCGCTTGGTCATCTTTTGCTTGGCTAAATCAAACTGAATAAAGGGACTCACAAGAATAAACTAACAGCCTTGAGAAAATTTTAAAAAATAGGTCTAATTATTTATACACTAACACTTTACTGTCTTTCTTCTGACTCTGCGTCAAAATTCCAGGAGAAAAAAAAGAAGCACAAACTCTGCTGCTTGTACTGTCCACCTTAGGACAGCATTCGCAAGCTTGACTCTTCTCTGGATGCCTACAATAAACTCACACGAAAGAGTGAGGCGGTTAATTTCTGTATTAAAATAACGAGTTACATAAAACCGCATTAGGATTTAAGTACAAGTGCCTTCCATAATTTACTTAATACTTATTTTAATTTAATAAACCTGTCTTGGGCCAAAATTGGTTGCTGACAAAGAAAGTCTTCTCTTTCACTATTGTAACCCATCCGCCTCTTCTCTAACATTGGAGCTTTGGTCCACTGATCAGTATCGTCTGTAGGATCTTTTGCTATCAAAGCCTTTATGCCTTCTTTTACCTTTGAATAAGCTTTAAAAGTAAAATTCACATGTTTTCCATTGCCACATTCAAAATTTTTATAAGAAACTAAGCGATGCCAATAAAACACACACAAAAAAAGGAAGTTTTTGGAATGCTTTAGCAGAAAAAAGTAAACAAACGACTTATAAGATACAGATTCTTGCAAAGGCGATGGCAAGCGTTTTGGATTAAACACCATTTTTGAATGTTTAGCAAAAGCTGAAAACCCAACACGTTTGGTTAACCTGCTTGTCATTGACGGAAACCCGTACTTTACCTTTGCACCTTCCTCTAAAAAATTTTTCAGACAAATAAGTTTTCAAATACAATAATAAAAATAAAATTCTTTGCGAGATATCAATCTTTTTCAAGCAGTCAGCTAATATGTAATGAAAATGACTAAAATTTATGAAGCTACAAAAATTTCAACAAGAAGATGTCGAAGTAGACTTTGATGGTGTAAACATCGGTCAATAGCTCTGCTACGAATCAAGTGCAGATGACGGCTTAACTCATTCTTCCTCTGTTTGAAATAACGACTGTACTTATGACCTTTTTCATTACCTTCCTAAGAGTAAAGTACTAATAACATCAAAGTGTTTATTGGAAAAAACTATTGTACTTCAGTACTAAAAGTATTTTTGGTTTTAAAAGGAATGAGCTAAACCTGGTTAGACTTTGCCTTGGGTGTATGCCTAAGTTGAACGCTTGATCCTGGTTTCCATTTTTCATAGATGCTGATATCCTCCCCGTCATCCATCAGCGGAAGAAGCTACAGTGAAATTTTGAAAGACTTCTGAACATTAACAAAGCCGTAACTATTCAAAGATGTTTGTAAAAGAACTGGTAAGTGGAAGGATAAAATGAATGCGTTCACTTTCATATACTTTCTGTCCTAATAGTTGGTGAGACGAGCATTTCAAAAGTAGTAGTAACAGCGAACAAAAAGCGAGATTCCCAGAACCAGTTAATTCAAGACTAAACGACAACTATTCTAAAGCAACAAAATACGAAAAGCATTTGCAGACATTTGCTAGAATAGATTTGATAATGACAAATGCAAAAAATTCAAAAATGGATTGAAAGCTTGTCAAATGCCTCAAGGTTCAAGTGGACTTCCAAAGCAACGTATACTATACCTCGGTGCTACTTTAGGACAGTTGTTTGGGTGGTTGCCATCTCAAACTTAAATTATTTTGTTGTATTGTAATTTCGAGTTTTGAGGGAATTCAGCTCTACAGTTTGGAAGAGTTTTTTAAGTTATGATTATGTTGTTTTTTGGCCTTTTCTTGTATTTTCTGTCTATTTTCAACAATTCATTTAGGTTTATAGATTTAAATTTTTAGTTTCTGGTTTTCCTGGCTATCTTCAACTTTCTTTTCACCTGTTTTTTTCTTTTTCAGAATTATTCATAAGTATACAACATATTTTCCTATAATAACATCTAATTATTCAGAGGTAACTGAGAGGTTAGGTTCTTTTAACATCTTGTTGTGAATTTTGTCGGCTTCAGCTCGTCGTAATCACTAATCTCTTTTCAAATATCCTTATTTGGGCCTGTCTAGAACGTTCGTTTCAACGTTCGCCGTTGAGTCTTCAAAATTTGTTTTAACCTCAACTAAGGTTCGCAGACATACGGCGTTATTTCCGGAATTACAGTTGTATAGACAAGTTTTTCACGATGTTTGAAGCGTAAAAAACACAGCTATTGGTACGGTCTGGTACGGTAATACAGCACCTTCTAGAGTATTGAACACCCTTAAAAAAAATAAAATGGTTAAACCTTATGCAAGATTTTTGCACAAATAATTGAAATTAGCTAATGCTTCTTGCCACATTTGTGCTTTTTATTCATTGTTTCAGGTGCGATCAAACGTCAAAGTGCGGCCTAACAATTAGAGAGCAAAAGGGAACAACGGTGCGGTATTCTCAAACTTCAAGTGGTTAGTGGTCTAGACGTTCGGAGGTCACTGAAGGCTATTTGTCTTTCCTACTGTCAAGTTTGGAAGTACGATTCTGTTATGACTATGTGCTGCCAACGACGATACTAAGTTTTTCATTAATCTTCCTTTTCTTTTTGTTTTAAGTTGTCTTTTGTTTGTTTGTTTCTTTTTTTTTTATAGTTTACGGAATTCCGACTTCTATGGCAATATCCGTTTTTTTTTTTT